ATGCAAGGAGCCAGAGTGATACAGGAAGGACAACATGGACACACCTAGAGTTTCCGAGGAGATGTAGTCACTGTTACACTTGCTGCCCCGTTCAGAGAGAGGGCATGAATGTGGCATCTTTCTCCATTGACCAGTCTCAGGGCAGAAGGTGGTTGGAAAGAAGCATGAGGAATGGCTCTGTGTGCAAGCGAGCAAATATTAGGGTTGATCTTTACCTATTTTCACTTTTTGTGGTTAACTGTGGCCTAAAACCACTAAATGGAAAGAGTTTTAAATAATTTTATTATAATATATTGTTGTAGTTTTTTTGTTACTGTTTTTAATCTCCAATTTATAAATTCAGCTTTATTTTAGGTACATTTGTATAGGATAAAACACAATGTGTAGGGTTTATTATTTGCATTTTGAGGGTGCTTATTGGAAGTCTTGGACATATATGCTCTGTGGTGAAAACTAAATGGCAGGAATAATTATAGGTACTGAGTCTGCTTTTTTAAAAACTTCCTCTAAGTAATTATGTCCCAGGGTTCACAGGTGACTTCAGAGGTTCCTAGCTTCTCTGCAATGAAGATACTGTTCTGAGGCCATAACAGATAGCTCTTGTTAGGAGTTAAAAGTTTCTTGTACCAATCCTGTATTTCTCAGAGTAACACCTACTCACATATCTACCTCCCTGTCTCCAACAGCCTGGAACAGTTTCATTTTTTCTTATGTGTGCTGTGCTGACATTTCATGCAAGTTCTGTTCCTGGAAGATTTTTGGTCTTTTGATGACAAGGATACTATCTTACTCACTTCAGCCTCAGTGTGTGTCACTAAGGGGCTTCTGGGAACATTTCTGGGACAAAATGTCTGACACCCCAATTTAAAGAAGGAAAGATTTATTTCGCTCACAGTTTGTGGAGGTTTCCATCCATACTGAGCTAATGAGCTGGCTCCAAGGCAGAGTGGCACATGGCAGAGGGCAGAAGTTCGTGGAGGTGGAGAACAGCAAAACAGCAAGAACAAAAAGGGACGAGCAGCAGCTGCAGAGGTAGAGAGCAAGACTCTTCTCTCTTCCTGTGTTGCATTCAGGCTATGCTGGGTATAGCACTCACGCCCATAATGCCAGCAGCACTCACATCCATTACCCCAGCGTTGGATCATGAATTAATCACAAAGTCTAGAAGCCCATCCCAGTGACTACATGATGTTCTGGGGGGACATCTAGACCCAGACCATAACATGGACAGCTGATCAATATCAATGGCAGAGAACCTCTCTTTTCCTATAGTCTGTGATCTTGGCCAATTGACTGAACATGTTTACAACATGGTGTACATGCATGAGTGTCCTGTTGAATAACTTGTACCACCCAGTGGGACTGTTTCATTTTGCCTGATGGGAAGTCATACATGCCCTGCCAGCTATGTTCTGCATTAGTAAAACTCCCAGATCTCAGTAGCTAAAATGCCACAGAGGTTTATTTTCTACCACATATTTGTTGTGAGTCTCCTGGGATGTATCTATTCTCACTTTGGCTTCTGGCTGATAGATAGATCATCTTCCATCGTGAGTATTGCCATTTCCTTTGTCAAAAGAAAGAGAACTTGGATAGAGTGGAGGGACGATAATTCAGTGTTCACCTGGATGTGCAGTGTCACATGTCCTCACAGTTCTCAGACGGAAGCTAGTGAAATGGCCTTGGCTAATTTCAACTAAGGCAGAGGAGATTGGGAATATTTGTTGATTTGCACTAATGATAAGTACAGAGAGAATAAGATTTGACTTTTTACCATTAACAGTTAGAGGAATATTTGCTCTGATGACACTAATTTAACTTTGACTGCTTAACCATTAGATACAAGAATGCTTAATTACCACCTAGTACAACATAAAAGCTTAATTCAAGCGGAAAAATAATTGTTAATATTTAGCAGTTTATATTTGTATGTTTCCAGAGTACTTTATACCATCCATTTGCTTCCCATATTTTCTCTCATCTTCTCCCCACCCCACTGAAAATTAAAATGAAATTTAAGTTGTCACTTTCTGGACTTAGCATAAATCTTTAGTGAGTGGAGTTGATTTAGTGGGCTTTAGATGTAACAGTGACCCCACTCCTCCAAGTTGTGGGTTGAGCACCAATACAAGATAATAGTATAAGAAGATTAGTTTGTGGAGTGATAATTTGGATTTTAGCACTGGCTTTGGAACTGTACTCGCTGTCTTAGTTTTCAATTTAGGAACAACAGACTTTAAGCTTACTTTCATTTATGTTAGTGTAGAAATGGTCAGTATGTATTATGTGTCAATGAAGCTGGATCAATTGCAATTAATTTGCAGCAGATTGCATTAACATATCAAAAATTAATACTGCAAGTGCTCTAATGAAAAGAAATTGACTGTGATCACACTGTGGCTGTTTTTAGTTTCTCAAATTCGCTTTTCAGGTTATGTATTTTTTCCCCCCTTTGGTTAATGGCTTTAAGTTGGTTCGTCAACAGACTTAATTTATTGATCCTTCCCATTTGCTTTTTAAAAGTGCTCCCAGATAATGGCACATATGTAACATTGTTTGCTTTCATTGCAGCTTTTACTAAATACCTTAAACTTGTATTTTTTTTTTCTTGCACTGTTCTGTGGCAGGCTGTGAAGAATATTGAGCCTGTGTGTTCATTTATGAAATTTGTGTTTCTGTAGAATTTCATTAAGAACTTAAACATTTAAAAATAAGATTATCATAATATATAGTTGAGAAGTGATATATGGTAAAGGATGTGAGCATTGCTTTCCTGGCAGCTTATTTTTAATTCCAGAATTTTTATTTCTAAAGAATCACAGTCAACTTGATCATTAGAAACATTATTACCAATATTTATGAGAACCAGAAGAAGTTTACTTAGCCTCAATCATGTTAAGTTTCTAATTTTTCAGAAGTATGTGTAAGTCATGTCTAGCTTAGGACTTCAGGACTGATCTACATTTCTCTAGTTTTAGGGTTGTATCTTGGGGGAGTAAGCAATAGTCTGCATCAGTGGGCGAGAGTCCAAGTCCACTCATTTTGTCAGCTCCTATTTAGTATTTTATATATGCCAAGTACCATTGTGCTCTAATTCTTAAAGATCCAAAAAGTAAGTGACACAGTGTGACATACTCTATCCTTGAGGAGAGGGTAGTTGTCTGATTCTAGCAGTAGGTTCTGAGGCCTCATTGCATCCCCCTTGTCAAAAAGAGCGCATTAGTACTTCCTAGCATGGAGATGCCAGAAGAACATTCTAAGGACACCTTGGAGGTTCTGAAAGCTAAAGCTTCAAGCTATTGAACTTTGCAGCCTCAGTGCCAATGTGGTCTGTCTCATGCTGCCTTGGACATCTCTCCAGGCCATAACAGAAGCTTCTAGAGCCTGTATCACAAGATTTCCACATTCTGCCTGTCTTCAGATCCAGTCCTCTGATTCTTTTTAGATTGCATTAATGACATCATCTTCCATCTTCTTCCAAGTTTCTGGAAACAAGTGTAGCTAAATGTATTAATTTTTCCTGTAATTTTTTTTTCATTTAAAAAATGATGTTTATACATTTGATAAGGAATGCTATAGTATTAAAACAGGAATTTACCTGTTTGTTACTCTGTATCTTGGCTGTGTTATTTAAACTAATTGATAATGCAGGATGGAAAACCATTTCAACTTGAAAGTTAAGCAGAACTGCTATAATGTACTTGTTGCAGTGTAGGAATAGGAACTAATCTAATTAGTGGAGACTCAGGTTACTGTACTCAGCATTAGTACATAAAAGAAATAGTGTTATTAAACTCCAAATGACAGTATCTAGGCTCCAATAAAAAAGTAAAAAAATGAATTAGTCTGTTGCCCAGTGATCTGAGAGTTAAGAACTAATTTTCTGAGGCAAGTATGGTTGTGCTTCATGATAATCTCAGGTGCCCAGGAAGCCAAGGCAGGAGGACCAAAGGTGGGGGACTAGGGTGGGCAATTTAGCAAGACCCTGCTTCAAAATAAAATACGAAGGGCTGGGGATATAGCTCAATGTTAGAGAGCTTGCTCACATGCAGAAGTCCTGGGTTTGACCCCCAGTACTGGGAAAAAAACAAAAAAAAAAAATACAAAAGAAAAATTTCTGACTAATGATGTACATATAATTATTGAAGTAGTAATATGTGTTTTGACTATTTGGGGGGTGAGTGAAAGGGAGGCATAGGTTGTAGGTAGGGAATGACCATGAACCTTTTAGTGTTTTCAGTGGTAACAGACAACCCTCTGTGGTACGCATGCCATTGGCTCATCACTGCTGTGATAAGATTTTTAATAGCTTTTAAAAACTACTTTTAGCTTATACATACTACAAAAAGTTCCAAAAGTATCTTTTAACAGTTCCGCTTATCCTTTGCATAGTTTCTTCTTATATTATTATCTTACATAATTGTACAATATCAAAAACAGGAAACTTGCATGAATATGTTTCTGTTAACTAGATTATAGGTCTCACTCTATCTTCACCATTTTAAAAAAATTGAGTTTATTTGTATATTTTATTTTGCTTGATTTTTTTTTTTTTTTTTTTTTTTTTAAGGAAGGTTATACAGGGTGTTCAGGGTCTCACTACTACATTGAACTCATAAGTGATCCGCCTGTTTATAACTTCCTAAGAGCTGGGATTACAGGCTTGCGCCACCACGCCCAATCTCAATTGCAGTCTCAGTGCACCCAAGGGGTGGAGACTGCACGGCTGGCCTGGGGATCAAACCCCTGGCCCCTGTGCCTACTTGCAGGCACTTTAATCCGCTGAGCTATTTGGCCAGCCCTATTTGTGTGTTTGGTTGTTTTGAAAACTTCGATTAATAATAATCATGAAAACTTTGTACAGGTATGTTTTTTTCTTTTGCTTCTCTAAACTGCGTTGCTCATTTCTATTTGATGGTGCCGGTAAGACTGGCCATACAGATTGACTGATTTATTTTCTTTTTACTGATGCTTGTATTTCTTTCCCTCAATTTCTCTAGGTGGTTCAGTGCACCTCCAGAAGATGGCTCAACCTACAGGAGTACCAGAGCAAGAAACTGATGTCTGACAATGGAGTGAGAGTTCAAAGATTCTTTGTAGCAAGCACTGCCAATGAAGCTCTGGAGGCTGCTAAGAGACTAAGTAAGCTAATTCATAAGAGAAGTATCCTGACTCAAATGAATGAATTCAGGGTCAGTGATTCCCACTAGTGAATCACTGTGGGAACAGATGCAGGGGAGAACTTTGAAGAAGCCAATTTAGGAAAAGTTGATTCTTTCACATGAGATAGCAACACATGGATGTCACTCCATGGGACTGTATCTGAGTTTCTAGTCTCCATTCACAAACTTCCCTTGACTCTTTTTAGTGGCTGGGGGAAATAGAAGTGAAAGGTATAGAGAATCTCATTGGAACAGGTCAGGCCTGGTGGGGACATCCTTCCTAAGGCCTCTCAGAAGCTGAGAGAAGTTCTGTGACTTGAGGAGAGCAAGGCAAAGGGCATACTTTAAAGTTAAGGTGACTCTGGTTCACTGTTCTATTTTTTCTCCCATTACCAGATCTGTAACTTTGTATAATGTTCTCCTCTATGGACAAAAAGTGATAAGTTTGCCAGTGCTGTTGTGATCTTTCAAGGAAACTGTATATTTTGAGAGTAGAAATTATAGTTAATATCCCTAGATATGGACTGAAACATTAATAATTAAGCCTTATTGTCTTAAAAATAGATATGAGCCATAAGTATTTTTAAAAAGTTTCCAACAATCATAATGACAAGAATAAAAAGAGATAAGTGAAATAAACTTTAATAATACATTCTATCCTTTATCAATAGGTCATATTTTTGTTGCTACCTTCACGAATCTGGTTAGTGTTCTGCACCTGTATACATATTATTTCTCACTAGTCCCTTGCAGGTGCTCTGGAGTCACCCATGGCAGGTGACTGCAGGACTGTGTGGTGTAGGTCCTGTATGGTGTAGGTCCGGGCAGTAGAAGGATTTGCATGTGCATCCTTTTTCTGCAGCTTTGAAGAGTAATTGTTTGCTACCAGAAATAAAGAATAGAGGATTTGTAGTCTTTTGTAGTTTTTGAAAAAATTAGTTTCATTTTCAAAAATATCAAAAGGAGTTTTTATGGTGAAAAACTCCAGTGACATTACTAAGCCTGGGTGAGAGCTCCTCAGTGAACTGTGGCAGTAGACCCAGTCCAGGGTAGTTATTGTGACCTTCCCACAAGAAGAGGTCATTTTTGTTTTAGACCCCTGTGGGTTATGAATTGGGGAATCAGAGCAAAGAAATATGAAGTTCAGCTTGGCCTTGGGTCTCAACTTCCCCTTCATTTTCTTAAATGCAGTCAGGACCCTTTCAAGGGAATTCTAGAAGCCAGCTGAGTGCTCCTGCAGCCCTACTGGCTTAGGAAGAGCACAGCTGATATGATACATCCTTTAGATTTCCATGGAGACATCGACTTACTGAACTAATTAGCTTCCTAGTCACTGGTTTATTTTAAAAAAATTATTACAGCATCACTTCATAGTTGGGGGTTATGGTCCGTGCATTTAAAATAGTTTTTGCTCTGGAGGAATTAGCAGCGTGGCATATATATGCTGGGGCTGAATACGGAAGGGTCTGATCAGTGGGCTTAAATAAAGCAAATTAAAATTAATGCAAGTGAACTATTGAAATAGCTAATTTTTGTCCTTGGGAAGTGGATTCAAGAGATTAAAAGTAGATAAAAGGAATTGCAAACAATACAGAGATTGAGAGTTTATACAAGATTTGAGAATGAGGCAGGTGTGTGTGTGTTTGTGTGTCCATGTGTGTGTACTTTCACATATGTATACCTTTGCCGTTCTTTTAGGAGTGGGTCAGTGGGTACTTTTCTCTGATCCTAATTATTCATCATGAATGAATAATCTTTCCCATATTGAGTAGTAGCTTTGTTGTTAAAGGTATCTTTTAGTTTGTGTTCTTGAATAGTTTTGATCTGAGAGGAAACTGACAGCATTGGAAGTGGAGATGTTACTAATTGTAGTTGCTTTAAACTTAAATGAGTTGATAATAGACATAAAAAGGAGTATGTGTGTCACTGTTCCTGTGATTGCTTGCAGAGAGCAAAGCAAGGAGGAGCTGACAAAACTTGACAGTGTGTATGTTCTTGTCACCACAAGACTGACAAGAAGCACAAGCACAGATGAAATTTTATGCAGTACATTTGAGGTTGATTAAAGCTGAATGACTTACACAGAGCTTCCTAACTGTCCTGAAAATGTGATTTTTACCTTATGATATTATCACCAGGAGATATTACATAGGATATTCATGTGTTGAAGAGGCAGTCAGAATTCTATAAGGTTCTATTGGTGTCATCATCACCAGGAAAGTCCACTTCCAGGTGAGTGATTACCATCATGATTTGAACTCACAGACTCTTCAGAGACATGGGATGCTCAGTGTCCTGTTAATCAGATGCTAAGAGAGTTCATATTTCAAAGGTTTCTGAAATGAGTGAAATTTGTTTTACCTCATTGCTTTTTCTGTCTTGCTTTGTAATAAAATGACTTAAAATATTTTGAAAATGAGTATTGTCCACTAACTCTACGATTTCCAGCGTACTCTCTTTGTGGATTATCTCAGGGCTCTTTCTTTCTTTTTCTTTTTCTTTTCTTTCTTTTTTTTTGCAGTACCAGGGATTGAACTCAGGCCCTTGCACTTGCCAGGCAAGCGCTTATTCTACTGAGCCACCTCCCTGGCCCAGGCCTCTTCCTTTGTGTCTGAATCGACATTTCCAGTTGCCTATTGACTGTGTCATTGGCTTTCTTTACCCAGAAGAATCTGTCATCTCTTGGTTACTCCAGTCTTTTCTTTGGTTTCACCTCATCTACTTATTCAGGAGAGATGGCTTCTGTTCATCTCTTAAGCCTCTTTGCCAATTATATTGTCACTTGCCAGATTCTGTTGTTATTAAGATGATGTTATTTTGTAGGCAAGGAGACAGTCAAAACAAGGTTAAAATACTTGGCAAAATTGTAGAGCTAATAATCAGTAAAGATGAGATTTGATCCTATCCTTATGTAAAAAGCCAGAGTACATTTAATTTCTTCCCACATCATTTTCCTCTTTGCTCACTTGATGATGATATTCTTGGGAGATTGTTTTGTGTAGGTCAGCATTTTTAGGATTGAGAATGCATATTAATAAAATTAGAAGATTTGATTAAAACTAGATGTGGCAGATTCTGTGCTGTAATTTATAGAAACTGTAATCTAGAGATGTTTTCTTAATGAATCATTGTGTTGTATCTTTTTGGGCAGTAGAAACTTTTGTTTATGGAAAGCTTGTTAAAATCAACATTTTTAAAATATAAATGAGTAGTACAGAGCTTTTGTTTCTGAATGATAAGATACTGGAAAAGATCCTAATTTTCTTGCACTGAAAATGGATTTATGTCTAGTTGAGAGAGTAAATTCAGTTTGATGAGTGAAGATTTTAACATGTACTTTATGTTCATTTCTGTAGCAGCTTATAAGGGCTACTTTTTGTTGTGTTTTAAGGAAGAAATTATTTCCCTTGCATGCAATTATTTTAGGAAGCTTATTAATTATGTACTCTTCTCTTATGGATTAAAATTAATGAATACAATCAGCAGATAATTACAGAACACCTACTGTGTGAACCACTGATCTTTATGTTGCTTTTTCAGTTCTTTTTAGAGATAAATGAAGGATTGTGTCTATAACTCAAAAGGTCTGTCTTAGAAGAATATTTGCATGTAAACACATATGAAACTTATCTCATACCACTACCTTTCAGTTTTTGGAGTCTTGACAATTTACTAATTATTTCTTTCATGTTGAAAGGAGACTCTCAAGATTTGATTAAGCATGAAAAAGTGCATTTCAAAAATGCTATAATTTTTTTTTTCCATTCAGGAAAGAAAATTGAAATATGAATGGAGAAATTAATCTTTTGTGAGCTAATGACATGTACCCAAAATGGAGATAAGGAGCTTTTATTGAACTTTGCTAGTTTGACTTGCTTTCAGCTATAACATGTTTCCATTTATCAGTATGATAACTTATTCTTTTCATTTTATATAATCATGTCCTAAAACCTAGTGAATTACCTACACCATTAAGGTATTGTACTTTATGTAAAAAGGGAGCTGCTGCCTTTTGAGTGCTGATTGACATGAACTATTACTCCTGAAGGCAGTTAAATTTATTGCCATCTCCTTGAGGCCATGTGGAGATATGGTCATATGACAGTATGTAGTTAGGATCTTACAAGAAGATCTTATGTTGTTTGTGTTGAGATGATAGCCATTTTTGTCATACAATGACAGGCAAGGATAACGTTGAATTTCTGTGATGTAAAATTTCCATTTTGCCAGGTGCTCATTATTTTGATTCCAGAATTAGTAATACAGGGATGCTGCTAGGGTAGTGGGATGTGTGTCCCATCAGCATTAAAGCAGGGTATGCTTTCTAAGAATGAAAGTGGTGTCCTCACTGGACAGATGGCTCCTGTGGTGAGATTGATTATGTTTCTGGCTGCTATTGAACCTTGTGGTTCATTTTCTGTGCCTGATTATCTGGCCTTTTTAAAATTTGTTTTAATCTTTCATTTATTATTTGGTACAGGGTCTTGCTATGCAGTTATAACTCGTAGTGATCATCCTGTCTAAGCCACTTCAGTGCTGGAATTACAGGCATGTGCTGCCATGCCCAGGCCTGCGGTACTGGGGATTGAACCTGGATCGTTGTGCTTGCCAGGCAGGTGCTTAAACCACCGAGCTATTTTGTCAGCCCCTGCCGAGCTTTGTTAGTGATTATTTGAGCTTCCAAATAACCTCTCTGTGATTTCACATTTATTTTAGCTATAGTTGATCTTTGATGCTTGAGGCTAAGAACCCTAACTCATCCAAATAGAGTACAGTACTGGTCATAGACCCCAAGATGCAGCAGCTGCACTGTATGTATTATTGTTATTTTGCACCTGGAAGCAGTATTGGAGTTAGAATTAATGGTTTGCTCTAACTATATAGAAAGGGGATTTCATTTGACAAGTTGTTACAAGTTTTAGTAACTTTCTCCTGCCTCTATTTTTGCAGAGTGATCCCCTTTCTATAAAATGTTCTTTC